CTACGTTTGGGTAGCGCTACAGGCAAATAGTTCAATACTCATTTTTTTTGTCTTCTTCAATAACAAGACTTAAAAGAGAACCCTTTCTCTAAATAAATCTTTTGGAGAGAGGATACTTAGATTTGAGTTATACCTCTCCTGACACCTAAAATGGGTCTTCCATATAGTTATTCTGTTGGAGGCTATAAGTATTTTGTTGAAGATCAATTTTGAGTTTGGGACTTCTGATTGGTCTCAGCCAGCCTTATGTCTCATATGTTGCCTGCTGCCAAAGGTGTAATGCAAGATGCCAAGATGGCTGCAAACTGGCTGGGGCAGGTTAGGCCAGCTGCTGGATTTGTGTGGACAAATCTTTTTCTGAGCTGTGTGATTGCTGGAAAGGATATTTGATGCTATATGCTACGTAGTTTTATTTTATACATTTATTATTTTTTTTTCTTGCCATCGTAACTAGTAGAAGATCTCCTGGTCAAAGATATCATCTGAGAAGGTCATGGCTGGGCAAGATGGTGTCTGCCTGGCCACTTATCGATTACTATTCCATTTCCTTGTACTAGTTAGATTTCTACTAAGAGGCAACTTTGATCTCTGTGATTATTCCTGATTGCGTTCGTGTCGGACGTGTCTTTTACTTGGGAGGAGTTGAAAGTCAAGACGACAAGACCCTTGTAGCCCATGCATGATTCGCTGTAGACTCGTGCATCCGTGACAAAGTGTCGGTTCACTGTTTCACAACGTCTGTCTGCACGGTCAAGGATGGTGGCTGCCACAACTTTTTTTCTTTATTATTTTTATTACAGAACTGGATAACACTATGTCACTGATCTTTCCAGCGGATACACTATACAGTTCCGTTTATATAGCATTGGAGCAAGGAGAGTAAAGGCCTATATAAGTCGGCTGAATGCTTGAGGTGGCGGAGAGAGAATAGAGGAGAAGTGAGCCGTAAGTTTATAATTGGCTTAGACATAAAAATAAAAAAAAATTATGAGAAAAATAAGTATAGATCATAGGTAAATCAATAACTACTATATGGTAAGCTGATAGATTGACTATAAATGTCTATATAGCTAGGGGTAAAGTAGATTTTTCAATCTTTAACTCGCATTGAAGTCGATTTTCAACCTTCAACTATGAAATCGGGCAACAGACACCCTCCAACTGCCAAACCGGACAAATTTGGTCTTCGACGGGTTTCAAAAGTGGTTTTGTATTTTTTTTAATAATAATAAAAATCTAGTGTGATCTCTAGAAGTTCGTAATTAATTTATTTTAAATTATAAAAATATGAAACTAGTTCATGTTTTCTTCTAAAGATATTATATGTGTGTGTGTGTGTGTGTATATATATATATATATATATATATATGTTGATGCTATATTTAAAATTATTTTAAATTTTGCACGAAATTAAATTGATCGCTTTTGGTTCTTTTACATGGCAGTTCGCCTCCTTCGTCTCCACGCGCACGGCCTTGCTTTTGGCCAAAAACAACTCGAGAGGCGGGCCGTGAGCGCCAAGCCCTATATTAATGTATACAGTAGCATGGCTATCCCCGCCGGCATTTATTTTAGATCAAAAAAAATATGAAACTAGTACTTTTTTCTAAAAACGTTCTCTACTTGTTTATGGTCTCAACAATTTTAAATATAGCATCAACATATATATAACATCTTTAGAAGAAAACATGAACTAGTTTCATATTTTTATAATTTAAAATAAATTAATTACGAACTTCTAGAGATTGAACTAGTTTTTTTATTATTATTAAAAAATAGAAAACCGCTTTTAAAATCAGCCGAGGACTAAATTTATTTGGTTTTGATAGTTGGAGGTGTCTGTTATCCGGTTTTATAGTTGAAAGTCGAAAATCAAACTTCAATGCGAGTTGGAGGTTGAAAAATGTCCTTTAACCTATAGCTAGCAGAGGACTGTAATATTAACCTTAATCTAAGAGATTCTGCAATGTTGCCTAGGCACACGGAATGAGACTCTTTGCGTCGTTGCAGTAGGCCGGCCCAATTTCATTCTAGTGAGCGTTCATTAGGAATTAATCTAGCGAACGCTCCGACCAGCACCCGCACCTGGTGACTGCCCACTCCCCTCTTCTGCACGGTTTTTCATGTTGCTGATGTCATCTTAAAAAAAAGCAAACTATTTATTTCAAATTGCTATAACTTGTGAACCGTGAATCTAATTTAATTCACGACAAGACCAACAAAACTAGACCCCACTTGCAAATATTTCAAAGATTTTTTCTAGTAGCAATTTATGTGTATTACTCCCTCCGATCCATTTTATCTGGCGCAAATTAGAATGACATGGTCTCCTAGATTACACTTTCACCATTTATTTGCTTTTATATTATATTATTTATGCTTATAAACTTATAATCATTAGATAGTATAATTCCTTACAAATTTAATCATATAAAATTTGTATTATAATAGTTAAAAATTATTAGCCTAATTATTGGTCAAAGTTTCTAAAATTTGAATTTTGATATGCGTGTGCGCTAAATAAAATGGACGAGAGAGTAAATTATAACATATAACCTATAACTTACAACTTATGCACATAAGTTGTATTTATTGATTAACTTATATACACAAGTTGCATGGAATAACTTATGTACATAAGTTGTGTTTCATAACTTTTTGTTTCTAAGTTTTGGTATAAGTTATAAGTTAATTCATTCTTTTGTGTGTTAATAACTTTTGTGTTTGTAAGTTTTATCATAAGTTATAAGTTAGTTTATTCCTTTGTGTTTAATAACTTTCTGTAAATGAGTTATGTTTCATAACTCTTGTGTTTCCAAATTTTCGCATAAGTTATATGTTATAAGTAATACGTTCTATATTATATGTATACAGTTATATGTTATATTTTTTTATAAACAAAAAAGTTATATGTTATAAATTAGTACACATAAATTATTACTAAAATTCTTCGAAACATATGCAGGTGGCGTCTAGTTTTGTTCGTCTCGTCGCGTAGAACACACCAGTGTAGATCGAATTAAAAATGAACACACCGTTTAGAAATTATAGTATTTTGAAATAAATGTTTTGTTTTTTTAGGTTGTGTCAGCGCTAACGTCATATACAGAGAAAGAGAACAAGAGAGGGAGAGGCGGTGAGGGGTGCACGGGATGGTTGTTTTCCAAATGTGAAAGAGGTGAGATTTTTTTCTTAAAATAGGAAGTTTAATTGGTCGGAGAATTATTCGTTTATTCAGTTTGAGTGACCGTTCGCCAATTAGTGGCGCCGGTAGGCCGGCCTGATTTGTAACGAGGCCCACCTCCAGTGATCCAACTGGTATCACTGAAATCAGGTCCACCTACAGTGATCCAACTACCCTCTCCAATGCCACAAACGAACTGTTTCTAGGTACGGGCATGTGACGTCTAACGTTGTGGAAGGGACACACACAAATCCTAGTTATGGAAAAATGATGGAGATTGACCAAAAGAGAGAACCTATATGTGAGTGTTATACTTGGAAAGCTAAAAAAATGTGCGGGGCACAGTGTTACAAATCCTAGTCACTATTACTACTCCCTCCTGTCATAAAAAAACATATGGGTTGACAAGATTTGATCATGTCTTAAAAACTAGAGACTTGCTAGCGCTCGGATGTCCGTCCGGGGCGCTAGGGTCTGGACGCTGCCGCACAGAGGGAGTAAACGAGCATATAGCGTATTAGGCTTGCGAGGGAGCGTACCAGCAGTGGGCCTGTGCCACCCTAGATGTCACCAACGCCGCCCCGAACTTTGTCCGCACCTCCGGACGTTTCCCACACGCATCCCATGTATAACACCCGATCTATTTTTGAAACATCCAGATGCAACAGTTGCAACATACCAAAGAAGACAAATGAAACATTTGAAACAAGTGTATGAAACACTTGCGAAAACACATGAATTTTTTTTGAAAAACCATTACAAACATATGCAACATCCAGATGAAACACTCGCAAACATACGTATGAAACACCTGAAAACACTTGAAACATATGCTTGCAACGTGCATGTATATGTAACATCCAGATAAAAACACTTGCAACATTCGTCTGAAACAGTTGAAATATTTGGAACATACACTTGAAACATACATGTATAGCCATTACAAAATGTGCAACATCCCGATCTACTTTTGCAACATCGATATACAACACTTGCAACATACCTCTGAAATATCCGAAACACTAGAAACATACTATTACAACATGCGCTTTCAGCGTAGCATCTGCTTGCTGCTTGGACAAATGGAGGCTCGTTGATGCCGAGCTCGATGTCGCGGAGTGGCGTGGAGGTCGCCGGTGTGGAGCTCAACGGCGGCATGGACCTCGGCAGGGGTAGGGGCAGGCGGATGGAGCGTGGTCGTGACGTGAGGCACAAGCGGGGGCGGCGCGACCGAGGGCAGGGTCCGTCCTGGAGTAGAGGCGTGCAACGCGATGAGCAAGCAGGTGACACGGGCGGGGGCGGCACGGGCAAGGCGCAAAGCGAGCGGGCGACTTATACGGGGTCCGTCCAGATGACTCACGGACAGACGACCTATAAGCAGCATTTCTATAAAAACTACAAACATCAATAACTCTAAATTATTTAGTTTGAAAACATGCAAACAGATTTGTATTTGAATATACTTACAAAATCTCTTAAATTTGAAGGATATTTATAATATATTTAGAAGAAATTTGTAGTCAAATATATGGATTAAATACCCTACAAAAGTCAAATTATGACCAATATTTTTTACTCGGGAGGGTACACAGAAAAGTCAGGGTGGAGAGCTGGATGGCGTTCAAAAAAGTGCTGCATGGAGCCCAATTGGAGGAAGCAGGCCCGGCCCAATCCCGTGCCAAATCATCGTCAGCAAGCGGCCAGATTAGATACAACGGTGGGCCCAATTAATCGATGTGATTCTTCTCAGCGCGGCGCCCAGTTCAGTCAACTGGGCAGAGATAGATAGCAAGCAGCATCGGAGCTGTTCGACGAAATGCCGCCATGGCCGCCGTGCCTCCAGCCCACCCTCACCACCGCTCGCCGGGCCACCGCCTTCTCCAGGACGACCTGTCTCTCTTCTATCCCCGCCTCTCCGACCTCGACCTACGAGCAGGTAAGACCCATGTGCCCTGTCGCCGCCAAGCTCTTTTCATGTCCTCCCACAACGCTTGAGCTTGGTGTCATCTCATCTGTGCAGGGGCAACACGAGGAGGAGCCGTCGTTGGTCGTGGTGGGAGGCGGCGCGGCGGGCGTATACGCCTCCATAAGGGCTAAGACACTTGCTCCGCACCTCAACGTCACGGTGGTCGAGAAAGGGAGGTTCTTGTCCAAGGTCAAGATCTCCGGCGGTGGCCGCTGCAACGTAACCAATGGTCATCATCTTGAGCCCGCGGTAATGCGCAATTCCGCCTCTTCCTCCTACCCTGGTCTTCCTAGATGGTGCTGCCCACGCCGTCATCCGGCCTGTCACTACCATTTTCGTGTTGCTGCAAACATATCAGCAGTGCCCATTGTTGTGTTGTTTACAGGGCTTGGCGAGAAATTACCCTAGGGGGAACAAGGAGCTCCGAGGATCCTTCTTCACCGCTCACGGTCCGCAGGATACCATGCGCTGGTTCACAGATCACGGTGTCGAGCTTAAGGTAGTCGGCTAGTTGCTTCAGAATCTTTGTATTCTGTATGCATTCCTCCACAGCTAGTTGCTAATGTTGCTCCCTTCCCCTTGTTGGTTGCCATCTCATAGACGGAGGACGATGGCAGAGTCTTCCCTGTCACTGACAATTCAGCTTCAGTTGTAGACTGTCTACTGAACGAAGCAAGAAGGCTTGGGGGTACCTCTTGCTAATTAATTACCTTTCCTGTTAATTTCCCCTTCAATGCTACCGCCACCACTCCCTGACCACTTCAAAACCAAATGGAAGTTTCTCTGCAGGCCGGCAAAGCTGTGTCTAGTGCATCTGTTGCTCAAGATGGAAAGTTTGTTCTCAAGGTTGAGAAGCGTACCTCTGATTTTGTTGATTATATCAATGCTAACTATGTCTTGGTTGCTACAGGTAGCAGCCAACAGGTATGGGCATTCCTTTTTGCCCCTCGCTTTGTATCGTCACCATATCATAGGGCAGAAAGTTACACCCTTAACATCTTGCTTACCTGTAGGGTTATTCAATTGCTGCACAGCTCGGCCATTCCATTATTGCACCAGTGCCCAGCTTGTTCACATTTAAAATCGCAGACAAGCGGCTGGCTGATCTCGCCGGGGTATGCATCCACAGAAGCTGTTTCAATTCCCATGCTAAGAATTACTCTATCCAGTAATAAAATAGTGATAATTTGTAAGTCATGTGGCCAAATTACATGAGTTTCCTCCGTTTACCTGCCTACTAGTGTCCATAATTTATTTGCTACTGAGGAGGAACATGATTGACATCAAGACTTGTGTCCTATAGAAGGAAGCCTCATCGTGCAGTTGGTTTTTGTTTCTAACAGGAGTACTGAGCGGCAATGACTTTTACCCCTTTTTCTTTCTGCTATGTAGGTTACATTTCCAATAGTCAAAGCAAAACTGAAGCTGGATGGTGTTAAAAAAAGTGTTCCCGAATTAACTCAGGTGAACATGCCATTTCTTTTCAGCATTTGGCTGGTTCTTAGAGAGGTAGCCAACTAGTTATACACATCGCTTACACCAAGTAACTTGTCTTTACAGACTGGGCCTATGTTAGTTACACACTGGGGGCTTAGTGGGCCTGTTGTGCTGCGGTTGTCGGCATGGGGAGCACGTGAACTACATCAGTGCAACTACCAAGGTATGATGCAATTAAAGTATACAGGACTTTCACTAGATTGACAATTGGGGGCAATGGCATCATTGTTATATTTGTCTAGTTTTGTAGTCTGTGATCATCATTGTATTCAGTAGATCCAGAACACTCCCTTGCATTCTTCTTTTCGTTAGAGTTCCAGGGAGTCCCTTGCACTTACCGTTATTATTTTTGTTACTTTCTAGCAATGGTTTACTTTCCTGAGTTATCATTAGGGAATTATGCATGTTAGCAAAATTCTATGATCTGACTCTTTTTGTTAGAAATTTTTACAGTCTTAAGAACTTTTGGGCACCTATGGACCGGTACTTTGTCATACTAAATTTATTATATCATTTAGAATGTTTCTTGTTTGTCCTCATAAATTCAAATGTTTGGTACTTTCTGCTAACCTTTTATGGCACCTGCTGAGTACAAACATGTTGCATATCCTGTTTTCTTGTTTCTCTAGTGATACAAGCATTGCGGTTTTACCTCTTCATCTGATATGTTCCTTTTCAGTTTCTTTCTATGTCTATCACAAAATACATTAAATTGAGAACAATAAATCTGATGGTTGACTTTCTGTACACTCAATAGTATCCACTTTCCTCATACATTTCTCTCAACACAGGAAAGCTTATGGTTGACTTTGTACCTGATATTCATATCGAGGACGTGAAGCGCATCCTATTCCAGTACAAAGATCAGCATGCGGTCCATTTCTTTCTTTGTAGTGTTTCCTTTACCCACTGAAGTTAGTGCCATAAATCTTCAAAAGAATCTGAATCTGTTGCTGGTTTAGCTACTCTTGAGTTGCCTTTACTTTGATGAGCTAAAAAAAAGTGTCCTCGAGTAAAGTGCTGCAATAGTTCTGAGTCTTACTACTAATTATTTGGCTTGCTGAGATGATCTTTGACTTTGCCAGCACAAATAATAACTGCAGCTTCCTGGTCTGTCACATCGGAATACTTTTACCAAAGTTTTAATTGACCTTCAAAATCATGAGTGAAGGGCGGGCCTGGTGCAAGTGGTAGAGTCTTACCACCTGCGACCGGAAGGTCCCGGGTTCGAGTCGCAGTCTCCTCGCATTGCACAGGCGAGAGTAAGGCTTGCCACTTGACACCCTTCCCCAGACCCCGCACAGAGCGGGAGCTCTCTGCACTGGGTACGCCCTTTTTCAAAATCATGAGAGAAATATTCGAACAGTTCCATAAATAAAGATGAATTTGAACTGCAGAAGCACAAAGTGAATAACACGTTCCCCACGGAGTTTGGCCTGGTGAAGAGATTTTGGAGATTCCTACTAGAACAGGAGGTGATACTATTACTGAATAGTGCTTTGCTTATCCATTTAGTTCGATGATTTCATCAGGAAAGTCTAACCTTTGCAGAGTTTAAATGATGATACACACTGGGCCTCCATGCCAAATAATCATCTAAACGCAATAGCCCTTCGGTTGAAACAATGGATGTTTGAGGTTGTCGGAAAGGTGTGTGATATCATAATATGCTAACTGAAATTTGTCAGCCATTTAGTACAGGATATCAACAGTAACTCACTGTGAGTTATATCATATGTAGGGCCAATTTAAAGATGAATTTGTGACTGCAGGAGGTGTTCCAATTTCAGAGGTTCCTAATCTTTAACTGCAAATTTCTTGAACATGAAATCAACTTGCATATAGACCTAACTTGCCTCCCTATTGTTAAAGATATCACTTGGCACTATGGAAAGCAAGAAACAGCCAAATCTGTTCTTTGCAGGAGAGGTAATATATCGTTCTTGAAGTCAAAACATTCTGGAGCAGCAAACTTAAAAGTTTATTTAACTTTTTTGCGGATGGCCTTGCTCTAGGTTCTTAATGTTGATGGGGTCACAGGCGGATTCAATTTTCAGGTAAGCTGTACAAATTCCTTTAGAATATTGTTTTTGTTAAAAGATCAATAGGTTCACCACAAACTTTGGCAATGGAAACTTGATTGAGTATTTCATATTTAAAGTGAGAAGAAAAAGGTTTGTAACCAGCATTAGTTGTTTGTTTTTCCACAGAATGCATGGACCGGTGGGTATATAGCTGGGACAAGCATAGGCACACTAGCATCGACTAGCAATCTCTCAGAGCAGCAGTCATGTTTGCAATTGTAACTGGGAGTATATCAGAGAAGGAAATGGATTGAGTGATGAAAGAGACTCCTTAGATTATCTGGGAATGATTCAGGGATACCAACAAATATGCAATCAAGATAAGGATATTCCAAGATGACTAGGATCAGGGAGCTACATTTGCTACTGAATTGTAACACTAACCTAAGATGGGGTACATATAGCATGACTGCATGATAGTAGTTACAATCTAGGTGTACAAAGTGCAATCTGGATTCTGGAAAAATAATAGTTACGATCTAGTTGATCAAGTTGTGAATTGTACTTGACCGATCAGAATGTGCATCCAGCTATGATTCTTCTGTCTCAACTCTCAATAATCAATACTTGTTCATCAACAACATTACCTGTCAGCAGCAGCTGTCAACCTGTCACTCAAGTTAAAATGAAGAATTGGAACATGGAACCCCTGATGCAGTAATCGCTCAAGTTAAAATGAAGAATTGGAACATGGAACACCTGATGCAGTAATCCTCACTGGCTAATTGTGAGAAATTTATGCTAAACGAACAATGCCATCTCTAAATGTTACCACAATCACACTAAATAGTTTCCAAGCATAGACTATTCGGCTACCAAACTACACCTGACCTGACTAAATCACCCTATGGAGCGAACTATATATGGTGCACATCTTTATTCATCCCAAGCTGATCCTTCCACAAAACTGTGCCTGCTTAAATAGGTCCCTTATTTCTGGCCTGGCCAATGACCTCACTGCAAGCTTACAATAAATGCATGCGCTCAACATAAGGATTGTGCAACCATTTGTTGAGTGGCTCCCCACAGCCGACAAAGCAGCCAGTATTTCCACGGGTGGTGAAGAATGGGAATTCAAAGAGGTTTAGAAGCTTTTGAACCGATTGTCTAACCAGCGAAGATCCAGTTACCCTGCTCCTCCTGCCCCAGCCAGTAACAATGTCAATTCTTTCAGGGCCAGTGCCCAATGTCAGAATCTGCCTATGGAACCAGGCAAGTGTCCTGGACAGAGCAGTCACTGCTGTGCCCTCAGACATCAAGTGAAGGTTGATGAGCCAATACGACGAGCTCTTCTCCCTCACAGAATCTGGGTACACATTCTTCTGTGCAGCAACCTCCCATATAAGGCCCGCTTCCTCCTTGAGACCAGACTTGTGCAAGAAGTCTATGACAGCATCCATTAGACCCCTTTTACTCTCTCTGTCCTCACTGTGCATCATGTCCAAGAAATACCCGGTGTGATCCCTGACGTTCTGGCCACCAGGTTCTGCATCAGGCAAGTACAGCAGGAACATGTGAGCTGGATGTCCAGTGATGGCCATGAGCTGGCCGCACAAACCCATCTGTGCCTGAGCCTCGGTGCAGCAGCTGAGCAGCAAGGTATAAGTCTGCACAGATGGAACAAGCCCTTGAGCAAGCATGTTCTGGAGCACGATGTAGGCATCTTGAAATCTGTTCATCTTCAGAAAAGCACTCAAGAGCGAATTGCAGGTAGGCACGTTAGGCTGCAAACCATCCTGAAGCATTGCTTGGTACCATCCTAGTGCTTTGTCAACATTGCCGGCTTTGCCCCAGAGATCGACCAAAAGTCCATATACTGGCTCATCAGGAGCCCAATCGCACCTCATCTCAATGAAAACAGCCTCAGCCTCATCCAGATGGCCACAATGACCAAGAACTTCCATAACAATGCTGTAAGTTATTTTGTCAGGACGGAACCCAGCAACCTGCATGTCTTTGTACAGCTTAACAACATTTTCATAATTTCTTGCTTTGGCCTGGAGCGCAATCATAATGTTGTAAGTAACAAGGTTAGGTGTGCAGCCATTTTCAATCATCTCACAGAAAAGCTTATAAGCAGCCACTAATTGACCACCTTTACCAAGGCAATTAACCATGGCACTATAGGTGAATGTATCTGGTGACAGGCCTACTTCTTGCATCCTGCCATATAAATCCATTGCAATGTCCAGGTATCCAGCTTTAGCATGGATATCAATCAATGTACAATATGTAACCCGATCAGGCTCATAACCAGCTTCCTGCATTTCCTCAAAAACATTAACAGCCTCCTTAAGATAATTTGCACGGCCATATGCATGTATTATTCTGTTGTATGTCACCACAGTTGGTTTACAGTGAGCTCGGCTCATCTCATCCAGAAGTTTCTTCAAAACACCGAATTGCCTGGCTTGCCCAAGGATGCCTATCATGGTTGTGTAAGTATGACCATCGTGCTTGAATCCAGGTTGCCTCTTTAACCATTGAAAGAAACCAAGAGCGACAGTGTGGTCATGAAGCAGCTTGAGTACTTGATTCGCCTGGAACGCATCTATCTTGCAATGAAGATTATCCAGAACATGCTCGGTCATTGGACCCCATTTCATTTGCTGCAGTGTGTGGTAGTACTGCTCAACTGACCGCAATGACTTCAATGATCTTAAGTTAGATTGGGGTCCTCCACTATGAGCTTTTATTGTTCCTGTAGAACACTGAATTTTGTTGCTAGAACCATTAAAAACATTGGGACCTGATGGGTTCCGAGTTTGTACTTCATCTCGCCTGGCATCTGAATTGAAATGATTAGAATGATATTTTGCATATGGTGGACCAGGATGCCCTTGACTCCTTATTTGTGATGGTGAACTGGAAACCATCACAGATGGTCCTGAGAAACTCTGCTTTGGCTTTGCATAGCCAGCTCTTGGGTACCCCTTCCCAAATTCATTGTTTACGGAAGGGTTATAAGCCATCTTTCCCTCAGGAAAGTTAAGTTGATTCTGTGCCCTGTTATTAGAAGAATGGCTATCAGATAAAATCTGATAAGAATAGTTAGTACCCGTCTGTGGAGCCTGATCAGTGCTTCCATTATTAGATGAGGACCTGAAATTAACCAGCTCAGAATATACACCAGCTCCAGCAATTCCAGATTGAGAAATGCTTCTGGCTGTCTGCTTAGATGGCTGTACATAATCACTTCCTATAATCTGCTGATGATTGTGAGGACGATTGCTTCTGTTACTAGATGCAGGCTCCTTTCCTGGAGGTGAGGTAGTGGCATGAACAGCTGGAGCTGGGTGGCCAGTAGCTCCAATAACATCTTGTACAGGAGGCTGAATCTTCACAGATGTTCTGTGGGTTGAATGAGACTTCTGCTCGATAGCAGTTGCAGTCTGCCTTTTTGGAGCATAAGTCTCATCCTCAGGACATGTGCATGAAGCTCCATCTGTGCTACCACACCTTGATCCATTAAGATAGAAGGATCGTGCACACTGAGTTAGGGTGCCAAGTTGCTTTGCCCTCAACATGAACTGCAAAGTTAGTTCACAATATGTAAGAACTCTTAAAATACAAACACCTAGATATTTCATTTCTAAATTTCAAAAATGATTCATAACATTATATAAAATGGTCAAAATAACACATTCATTTGAGTTTAGGCTATTTTTTGACATAATCTAAAGAATAAGAAACTAAAAACAATAGCAGGTCAAAGAAATGAAGATATTGCCAACCGAGAGTAAATAACAAAATCAAACAGCATATTGCAAGTTGTAGCAGGTACTTCTCTTTACTAGCATTCAGAGCAGTATGTGTACCTCCATGCGGATATATGAAATCTATCTGCATTGTGATTAACAATTCAAGTGAACATTAGGTTTGTGATTTTTATTCCAGCAATGTTGGTTAAGATTCTTTTAAACCATGGAATTTTCAAGTATCTATTTGCTATGGCTGAACAAGGATAAGAGCACAGAAGATACCCATTACCAAATATTACATCGTGGTGTTTCATCCATTTTGAAGATTAAGAACCCAGTAAGATTTAGAAATGCAAGTGGATGACAATCATAGCAATGACTAGTCATAATATCGATATTAGCGATGATGAGACTTGTCATCCAAATAATAACCATGGCAGCATAAACTTCAGTAAATAAAATATGTTTCCAAACAGGAAAAGCACAAACAAAAAGAAATTGTGCATAAAAGGCCTACAGTGCTACTTCTTATACTCGTTTTGTAGTCATTGTTCTAAATAAAGAGAGCAGTAAATTTTTGGTGAAGGATATGAAGCAAATAGATATGGCATCAACTCATATAAGGCGAGGAATGTTGACTCAGATGCTGAGTGTTATTTTTGTGGGGTGCATGTCTATGTTCGGGTATTAGCACAAGGATGTCCTGGTCCTGTGTGAGTCGTTGTGTTGGAACTAATTCTGTAACCTCCTTTTGTTTTTCTGCTGCTAATAATATAACGGCAAATCTCTTGCCGCCTTTAGAGGTGGCAGGCAAGAAGGGAGTGTAATACCGGTTAACAAATCCAACCACAACTTCACGTCAATGTAGAGTTGTAGGCTTCTAACCGCCACTGAAACACATGTGACCCCTCATTGGCAGACCTGAAAGAAAACATTGATGCAAATCAACATATAAGGTTTATTTAGGATGAACCATTAGCTGTCTATAAATAAAACCAGTAGAATCAAGTCAATAAGCCTATTATGGTCACCAATGTTAGGCCTGCGCTTCCACAAGAGAATTATGGAATTTTTAAGTTACAATTAGATATAGGAGCACAATTAGTAACAAGGTTGTCTCTACAAACCAAAAGTCACTCGGCAAAGATAGCACATAAAAACCACGCCGAAAGAAAAAGGTTCGAATAAGCAGCATGACAAAAAGACAAGTTGAATGTTAGATCAAGCAAGGACATAAATTTGTTCAGCGGGAAAATGGGCTGCAGGCTATAAGGCCCAACAACACACATGTTTCCAGATTTAGGGCATCTTCTGGTGAAGCCCATTCACAACATAAACATGACTGATAAGCCAACCTACTTGACCCCTGTAAGGAGGCTTTTCCCATCATCTTGAACCTTTTGGACTTGCATGTTAACTCTAGAAAGACCTCAGGGTGTGCAGGTTTCAGTTAAAAGTCCAAAAATGGAAGCTCCATTTTTGGCCTTAATGTCATTCAGCTTTTATGTCCAAAAAGTGACCCTAAGTGAAGTAGCACGCAGGCAAAAACAGGTCCGCAATATATGGAAGAAGTGCCCTTGATGCAAAAGAATCTATTTTAATAGCAAACAAAACAAAAGTTTCAAGAAAACACTACATTTTTT